TTGTGAACATTTTGGTGGTACAATACCCCAGTGAGTTATCTGTCCTTTTTATCTTCAATGTAAAATGTTTTGTGCCAATATTTTAGCCTATTTGCAAATGAAGAAGGCTGTTGGTTGTCATACTGCTTTCAAAAACTATTATCGGTATGAGCATAACTAATATGTTTTTTTTCCTTCGTAGGCATCAAAACATGAGAGTGGAAAAACCCCCTCGCCACGCCAGAGCAACGGAGGCAAAGCCATCCCCAAACATTCCCCAGCGAGTTCCAGCAGCGACTCTTCCAGCAAGGGCTCCTCAGGGGCCTCGAGAGGGCGCACATTGAAGGCCAGAAGCCACTCTCCGGGCCGGGCATCGTCGCACACGTCGCCACCGGGGAAGTCCTCAGTGAAGTCCCCTGCAAAGCGGTCGCCGGGAGGTCTCCCCAGAGAGGCTCCAGCGACGCCCCGAAGGCTGCGGGCGGCCCGGGAAGACCGCCGTGAAGAGCGACGCGGAGGCTTCCAAGTCCGGAAAGACGGCCGATTCCTCTAGCGCCGCGAAGGTGAAGGCGGAGAAGGAGAGAGCGGAGGCGAAGGCGGGGAAGGACACGTCTTCGGAAAGCGATACCTCCAGACTGTCAAGGCGGTGTCGGACAAGGGGAAAAAGTCTGCGACAACGGTTTCCCTCCAGACGGAACTCCGAGTCCAAAAGTGACACCAGTGGCAAGTCCAATGATGACAAGGATGGGAAGAAAAAGGCAAAGAAAATAATAAGGAAATAGTTAGTGAGAAGGAGGAGAGTGACAAGGAAGTGAAGAAAAAGACAAAGAAAACTCAAGACGAAAAGGAGGATAATGACAAAGATGCAAAGAAGAAGGGGAAGAAGACAGTGACAGAAATAGAGGAAACTGATAAGGAAGTGAAAAAGAAAGTCAACAAAGTTGTGGATGAAAAATCAGACAGTGATAAAGATATGAAAAAGAAAGTGAAAAAAATACAGGATGAAACAGATAAAGAGGTAAAAAAGAAAGTAAAGAAAAGTGTAGATGAAGTGACGAGTGCTCAAGAAAAGGAATCAAAAAAGAAGTCAAAGGACAAAACTGAAAACATAAAAGAAGGAAAGAAAAAAGATCAGAAAGTGGGTGGGAGAAAGATGATAAGGAAAAAGAAGTAAAGAAGAAAGGGAAGAGAATAGTAGATGAAAGTGAATTAAAGGAGAAAGAAATGAAAAGAAAGTCAAAGAAACAAGTAGAAACTTCTCCAAAGGACGAAAGTGACAAGGATAATAAAAAGAAAAACAAAAAATCTGTCAGTGAAAAAGAAGAAAGTGATAAAGAGGAGAAAAAGAAAATGGAGAAACCAGAAGTTTTGAAAGATGAGAAAGATTCAAAAGCACTTGAAAAGGAGGTTAGTGTGATGGCAAGAGATAATCCGTCTAGTAAAGCCTCCCCAGAAGAGGAACCTCAAAAGGAAGTGTTGAAAAGTGATACCAAAGAAGAAAGTGTTGTGCTAGCCCTTCCGCAAACAAACCAAAGAACAAAAGTGTTAGAAAGGTGTCGGTAGATAGTGAAGGGAAGACAGTTCTAAGTGTAATCAAAAAGAGATGAATGAAAATGGTGAACAAAGTGAGAAGGGTGAAGCTTCCCCTGAGAAGGACAGTTCTCAGGAAAAGGAGTCATCCGACAAGAAAAAGTTGGATAATATGAGCAGCACTTCGACTGAGGAGAGGAAAAGGACAGCTACAACAGTCGCTCAGGAAACACCAATGCCCAAGAAGAGAGGGAGGCCAAAGGGCAGCAAGAATAAGAGAAAAAATGATGGTTTGCCACCTGCAAGACCCAAGAAAGACAAGAAGAAGGCTAGTGCAAAACAGTTGCAAGAAAAGGCAGAGAGTAAATCCAAGAAAGAGAGAAGTGTCTTTTCCTTTTCAGAAAGTGATGGTGAAAAAGTGGAGAAGGTGTCAAAGAAGAAGACCAAGACAGCGCAGAATAAAGGTAGAAAGGCAAAGGAGCATGAGAAAGTAGAGGATGGTAACTCTAGTACAGACAATGGACTGACTGATGAAGAAACCAAAGATGTTGATAAAAGCAGTCACAAGGATAAGCATAAAGATAACAAATTAAAGAGCTCTCAGGTGCGGAAAGGTTCAAAGAAAGTACTTGGTAGTGTGGTATCAAAGCTGAAGAAGAAATCTGCTAAACCACGAGGTCATAAAAAGCTACCAGCAGCCTCAAAGGGAAGGAGAACCAAGAAGCAAAATTCTGATGCATCAGATTCAGAGGAGGAGAATGAGGACAAGAAACGGTCCAGGACAAGAATAAGTAGAATTGCTAAGATTCGGTCTGATGAAAGTGACACCAGTGATAATGAAGATATTAAAAAGGCTCTATTAAACAGTGTTGCACATCTGAAAGGAGAAATAACAGATGATGAGCAGAGTGATGATGATGAAGACTGGGAGGCAGTGAAAGGCAAGAGAAGGAACAAGAGAGGTGGAAGAAGAAGAACAGGACTGACTGGGAAGAGGAACAAAAAGAAGGCTCCAGTGGAAAAACAAGCTGAGAAAAGTGATGTGGATGAAGATGAGGATGAAGATGATGGTGATGAAGGGGAGGACGATGCAGATTATGAAGACTATCCTGTGAGTAACAGAAGAGGGCCTGCAGGCAAGAAAAATAAGCAGAAGTTAGAAAAGTCTAGTAGCCAGCGAAAGGATAAGGACACTCCTAAAGGCCGGCCAAAAGTAGAATCATCCTCTGAAGAGAATGATGAGGAAGATGAAGTCAGACTGTCTCCTAAAAAGAAGTCAAAGAAGTCTTCCAAGGAAGAAAGCTCTGTTGGTAGGAAAAGTAAGAAGGTGACTTTTGTAAAGAAACCAGCAAGAAGTAGGGATGACACATCAGATGTTGATGAGAGTGATAAGGACAGTGATAGTGACTACGAAGCAAAAGGTCGAAAGAAGAAGATTGGCAAGTCAATACTGAAGAGCAAAAAGCATTTACCAAAAGGAAAGAAAAGAAGAGAAGATTCGGCTCCTCCCAGAGGACGTAAGGTACGAATGGCATATTTGAATGCAAGAGCCATGATGCATTGCATGAATGAAGATGCAAGAATTCCTCTTCCTGCCCTGCCAGCTGCAGTTAACAAAAGTGAAAGTATGGCACTAGTCCTGCATGGACAGGGCATTGGTGATAGCAATACAGATGAGGAATCAGATGATGAAGATAGGGACTATAATTCACACAGTAATAAACATGGAAAACGCCGTAAAAATACCAAAAGGAAGAATGAAGAGGAAACAGAGAAGAAAGTGAAAAAGAAAAGTAAAAGACGTGCAGGAGAGTTGGATGTCCATATGGAGATGCGAGACATGGTCGCCAAGAAGCGGATGGCCCTCCTCAATGCATCAGCTATTATGGCAGCAAGTTATTCAAATGAATCTCGAAGACGGAATCCAACAGCTAACACAAGCTCTTCAGCTGAGAGTGAGGTGACAAATGTTGACATTAAACGCAAAATATCAGTGAAGTCAACTAACAGGAGTTCAACAACTCGAAGTGTAATAACAGTCGAAGAAACTACCAAGAAAGTGAAAAAGGCTCAAGGAAGTAGAGAAACTGAAGTGGAAGAACACATCATAGTCAAGAAAAAAGTCAAGAGACAGAGTGGTTTGGACACAGACCGAGAGGAAGACAGCCATGGGACAGATCACTTGGAAATGGATCCTGATATATTAACAAAGAGCCCAGGTGATCCAGAGAGAATAGTTGTTGAGTCAACTCTGACTTATGTTACAACTCAGTCTCCCTCTGCACCACAGACTGTCACCATATCAGGGGAAAGCACTTACTGTATCTCTTCAAGTGATGGAAAGACAACCACAATGGTTAAAGAAGTGAAGCGGAAGTCAACAACCACTGGATGTTCTACTTCTTCTGCTCCTCCCACTGCTTACATTCCACCCACACACCATGTACAAGTGAGAATTACTTTTTATTTGGCATATATGTGCTCTTTGTTATTGATGCACCATTTCACAACATTGAGAATACTGCTACCAAAGTGAAACTGTAATAGTTGAAGGAATGAACCAAATTAGGCACACCAGATTATTTATCTTTTCTCAATTACAGCCTCAACCACCTCAAAAACCAGCAAACTACACACCACTTGAGGCACTGTCTGTCATGCAACCTGTGATGAGTCCAGGAGGCACAACAACACATCATCACCACCACCACCATCATCACCATCATCAGCAACCATCACCACACCATCCACCACCTTACCACCCACCCCCACATCCTCCTCCCCCTCCTCATCCGCATCACCAACCTCCACCACATCATCCTCTGCCACCACCACCACATCCCATTCCACCATCACCACACAGTCATACCCATCCTCATTACCATCATCCTCATCATCAGCCATACCCACCTCCTCCGTCCTCACATCCCCATGGCTCCACTCCTCCTGGTGGTCACCATTGTGGCTATAGACCTCCCCCACCTCCGCCTCCAGGACAACACAACCAGGCTGGAACTTCCCCAGCTGGTTCTGTAATGACAGCTCACACACACCCCAGTCACTCCTCACCCGGCTACATCCCCCCCAGCCATACTGTGACACCCCCACAGTCCGCCCCCACGCCACATCATTCACCCAAGCATATGGGCTCACCAAACCACATTTCATCTGGCCTCAAGAGCCCAACTGGAGGGCCAGGAATAAATCCACCTCCAGGTTCTCCACGGAGTGCACCTTCAGTGGGCCAGGCTGAGCGCCACCATTCAGCCTTCACTGCCCCAACGCCATCAGCACATGCTCCTGCAGCCTCAGCCCCTACAGGTGAGTTGGAATATCATATTTTTGACCCATATTGTTGTGGAGTGATTGAGGTCCATCACTGCAATACACCTGCAGCTTTTAAGCTTGAGTGATTTGCTTCTTGGGGTGTAAGTTCTCAGTTCCTCATTAAAATGTTCTATCTTAGTATTAACTCATAATTTGGTAATTTCTGTTGGCTTTGAATGGATTGGACTTTCACAACAACAACAACAAAAAAAAAGAATGGACAAAGTTTTCTGAATATTTGTTAAGTAGAGAAAGACTTTACCAGTTTTATATTTAAGATAGCAGTAGGTGTAAACTGTAATGAAAGTGTAGCCACCAAAACTTGAGAGTACTTGCCATTATTTCTGAATTTACTTGTATTAATTATTCAGATTACTTTGAGCTTATATGGTATAAGGGTGTGTTGGAAACTTAGAATGAGGAATAGCAAATAAAAAAATGAGTAGAAAGCACTTTTTGCACCCTATCCTTGCTACCGCAAAATCTTTTAACCTATTCAAGAGACAAAAAGTAATCTGTACTGCTCTGCTTGAATAATTTCCTTTGTGATTCTGGCATTATGGTTGCAGGTCTTCTGACTATGATGGTTTTTCGTGTTTTAAACCATCACCCATTATAGCACTGTCAGTCAGGGGCAGCTGCCAGCTTTGTAGAACCTTGGTCACAGAGGACATAAAATCGCATTCTCAAGTTTTGGAGTGTTTGAATGTCAGTCTGAAATTATTATGGGCTTCATTATGTGTTGTTACTGAAATTGCATTTTGAAATAAAGTTGGTTGGGTGTATATACTTTCTTCATGTATAGGAAGATAATTAGATGATAATCAAATTGTTATCCAAGAAAATGCTCTAACACCATCCCTGGCCCAAGGTTTACATTGGAAGTTGATACTTGGGTATTTCATCCCATTTTGGAAACATCATTGAAAAATATTCTCTTTGTAAGAAAATCATACACCATGGTTATTAACATGGATTGTACACCGTAGATAAGGTTTTCCTAGGATTAAAAGTATTAAAAAATACTAATATACCTATTTGTGTCTAGGTTCCTCCGAACCAAAGGACTGAATAATGGATGGGCAGTGGATGATGCTTACATGAAACCTTGTATTTCACTCTTACTGTGGGTTTTTGTTTTGTTTGAGTCATCCACTATCTCTTACTCTTTAATCTTCTCTTCTCTTTCCTCTCTGTCTCCACCAATCACTCCTCACTATTTTTTGGGTGACAGCCTTGCATTTCATTGCAGGCTACCAGCCAGTGAGTGGGCCCATGCCGGTAAAAGCGAATTACACAGCCACCACCTCAGCCGGCACCGGTCCCTACAAGGCTCCCAAGGGGTCACCAGTGGCAGCAGCCCCCCCATATTCCTCTCCCCCGCGTCTGACCTCCCCTCCACCCCCCAACAAGCCTCCTCCTTACCAGCATAACGCAGAACCTTACCCTCCACCCTACCAGTATCAGACCTACAGTTACCACCCTGCCCCTCCACCACCACCTCCACCCCCGCCTCCGCATGTACCGCCCTATGACAAGTACTACCCACGGGGAGCAACCTACCACCTGTACCCTCCGTACTCAGGGGGTCAGTACGCTGCCCCGGGTGCAGAATACTCATACCCACCTCCTCCTCCGGGTGGTGTGCACTATTCACAGGAGAGCTACACCTCCTATACCTTGTGCGTGCCCAACCCACCACCCCAGGGTCCCCCCCAGGCACTAGCTTTGCCTCCCCCGCCACCACCCACATCAAATGCCCCTCACCCTCCTGCATATGCCACATATCACTACACGGAACTCACACCGGTCTTCACGTATCCTTCCCCGGGTACGATTGTTAAGATAAACTTCATAGGTGTGTTTTGTTTGCCCTGTTTGTTTGTTTGTCATAGATGCATGCCCAGTGGTTATTTTGTGATTGTCTTGTGCTTTTTTGCTCGTGCTTAGTTACACTAACTTGTGCTTTATATATGCATTATTCATAGATTGATTTGTATTGATTTACATAGTGTATGTGCATTCATGTTTATCATTTTTCTTTAACATATGTGATAAATCCGTAACGAAATTCACCGCTCATCACAACACACACACACTCACGCACTCACTCACACAAACACACAAACACACACACACACACACACACACACACACACACACACA